CGAGATTCTGTCGATCGATATTTACATTTTACCGTAAACACGCCTGCAGTATTCCAGCTCCGTGCTTACTCTGCGATCCTCCACATGCGACACTGGTGGCACATTCTTATTGCGCCTGTCTAGCGATGATGCAGCTTCAAATGTGGGTCAGGTTGGCGTCGGCATTGGTTAAGTTTCCTGGCTGAAGCTGCCCTAATCGACTGGATCCCTGTCAACAGCCGGATGTGCGCCGTTAGGTTGGCTGGCTCGTTCCAGGCTTCGAAGTCGCACGGACACAAACAGTGCCTGTTTGTCATTGTAGCTTACGTCCCCACAAACTGCAGCCCTGATTCGGTGAAAGGTGATTTCTCTCACCAACTTAACGATCTTCTTCGTTACGGAAGAAGCACGGATACTGTGGTGCTTGCTGGTGATCTAAAGACTGGAAAATTATCCTCTGATGAGCTTCATCTAGGTGGCCAACATGGTGTAGGCTCCCGTAATGATAACAGTGAGCGGTTGCTACACCTGTGTGAAGGTGCTCATCTTCTCGCGAGCACTTACTTTCAACACAGCACCTGCAGAAGGGTGACTTGGCGCCCATCAGTCTCGGGCCAGCCATGGACGCAAATCGATTACATCGCGATTAGTTACCGCTGGAGAGGCGGTGCCCAAAACTGTCGGTCGATTTGGAGCCTTAGCGTGGACTCCGACCACGCTCTTGTGTATGCCGACCTACGGGTGCGTTTCGACGGACGTCCGCAACGTCGGTCTGAGCGCACTGATACCAACCGTCTGGCGAATCCGGGTGTTTTGATTGCGTACCAAACTATGCTGGCATCTGGGCTGAGTAAGCGTCCACTAAACACCGTCGAAGATCACTGGTCACATATTCGTCAAACGTTACTATCAGTAGGCATGTCTTCATGTGGCAAATCAAATTTCCAACCCAGTTTCTGGAACTTATGGATGCTCGCCGACATATTCCGGCTGGAAGCGAATACAGTGAGACTCGCAACAATTCCAGGGTAAAACTGCGTGTTAGCCTGAAGAGAGACCACGAAGCCTGGTGGTCTCATCGTGCATCGGAACTGGAAACAGCCACTGCCATTGGTAATCATCGTAAGTTATTCCGTCTAATACTGGAAACAGGCAGCAGGAGACCTGGTGTTAGCGAGTCAATACGCGACGAGAATGGACAGCCCATCCACAGCCTGTCAAAACTCGGAGCGTTGCGCCGAACACTTTGCAAGGCAGTTTAACCAATTTGAGTTCTCGCTTTCTTTTTCTGGTATTGACTGCCCTTCTCCATGGGGCGTCAGCTTAGGTCCGCCCTCACGCGCAGAAGTCGAACGTGAGATCAGGCTGTTGAAATTGCATAAGGCCGCTGGTGCAGATAGAATTCTCCCAGCTCTCTACAAATTCGGGAGGCCTGCTCTTGTGGATGATTTACACGGTTTGCTAATGGAACTTTGGGAGCAGGAAACTATCCCGACATACTGGAGCCGCTCCGTCATAGTCCAAATTTCCAAGGCTTGCTCCGTTCGGAAGGCGGCAATCATAGAGGAATCAGTCTGATTTCAATTGCCTCTAAATTACTTGTCTCTGTCGTTCTCCACAATCTGACTGGCGCTCGTGAAAGCCAGATCCGCGAGGAGAGCCGGGATTCTGCGAGGTCAGGGCTGCATCGACCACATCTTCACTTTGCCTCAATTGTTGGAGCACCGCCACGTTTATTGGCGACCCACCGTTGTGGTGTTTCTCGACATAAAAGGTGCCTTCGATTTGGTGGGTCGATGTGCCGGTTGGGACTGTCTGCTGAGAAAAGGTGTACCCGATAAATATGTACACATTATCAAAGCGCTGTACGCGCACAGTTCGCATAGAGTCAGGGTTTATGGCAAACGGTCGCCACCCTTCAATATTTCCAGCGGTGTGAGACAAGGTTTGTCCGCTATCACCTTTCCTCTTCAACTTCTATATTGATGAAGTCATGGAAACAGCGTTCGCTGGACACGACCTACAAGATGTGGAGCTACATCCTGCTGAGCGACTTATTGACTTGGAGTATGCCGACGACATTTCTTTAAGCTGTGACAGCACCCAAACGTGCCTGGCTGCACTGGACCGATTAGCACTAGCTGTCAATCGTTTTGGGACTATGCTTTGCTCTATCGAAATGCAAAGTTCTTCTCCAAGATTGGCGGGGACCCGCCCCTGCGCTGACCTTTGGTGGTGATCAGCTAGAAGTCGTTCAGGAATTCAGGTACCCTGAGCAGCTATATTAGTGACCATGGGATCGAAGCTGAAATTACTAACCGTATAACAAAAGCTCGAGGTGCTTTTGCCAATCTTCGCCTCCTGTGGCACAGACGCGACATCACTCTCTTCTTGTTGGGTAGAGTGTATAATGCGGCCGTCAGTTCAACCCTTTTATACGGTTGTGAAACCTGGCCCATCAGGTCGACAGACATAAAGAGGCTAGTCACTTACGATCATCGCTGCCTTCGCAGCTTAGCTGATGTCTGGTGAGAGCATGGCCTGAGCAATGAGCATGTTCGACGTCGCGTATTTGGTGCAGAAAGAACGAGTGAACCGCTCAGCACCGTTATATTTCGCACTAGGCTCCGATAGCTGAGCCACATGTTGCGCCTGCCAGCACACCGACTACGGCGACATGCCGTATTTGCGCGCCGAGCGTGCGGTTGAAAGAGGGGAGGCCAAGCGATGACTTAGTCGAGAGAAATGAAAACCGTCACTTCGAAGTTGGCGTCGGTTGGTGCATCCCGACTGCCTGGCTGGGGTCTTAAGGACGATGAACACGTTTGGTTGGACACACTTGCTGATATGGCTAGGAGCCGGCCCCAATGGCGTTTATGTTGTGAGTTCCTTTGTCCATCCCCCTCCCACTTGGCCTCACCCTCCAATCACGATCTCTTTCGTTATGCGTAATATAACTCTTTTTGGGGCATGATAGCCGGCTGTTAGTTCTCCGAAACGATGTCCATCCGTTACTGTGGACTCAGCTGGCGTGCCTCTTGTTTTTTCTTCTTGTCTTTCCTATTGCGGCACAATAGCTGAGGGGTTTTCCACCTGCAGCTAACGTGTATACTAATACTACCACTACTACTAATGATGATGATGATGATGACCGTTAGGACAATCCTATTGTCCGGTAGTTATACGTGGGCCTTTCGATCGGTGGATCTGAAGCGCCTTTTATTCTTTGGCCGTCATTATTTGCGGAGCACTGGTAGTGTCGGATGTCTGTAAACAGATGACTGCTCGCGGGAATCCAATCAAGCAACTGTAACCGCGTTAGAACTTAGAACGATGGATATCCTAGCCTGACCTGTTTTTGTTGTATCAGCATCGCCGGGTGCGTGTAACTAGCAAATAAGAAGACACCGCCACTGCTTGACAATCGCCAAACTCGGCGAGCAGTTGAAATACGTTGCTAGTTGAGTATAGTTCACGTCTCTTAGGAGCACCGTACGCGAAGTACTTAGATCCGTCAATCGGTGTTTTGTAAGCAACCCTCTTGTGCTTCACTAGGGTGTCTGTTAAATTTGAACTGCTTACGTTATTTGAATTATACCCTTCTCTCTGAGTGCCTTGTGTAATGCCGATTCAGTGGGTGAAGCAAAATTTCTGTATAGTTAGTCGGAAACATGACTGAAAGCAATTGAAGCATTTGGCTGTGATACTTGTCCATACCCCGTGATGAATTGCATCAATGGTTGGCGACCCAATCCGACAGGGCACATTCGCCTAGTCATCCGCATTTCTGCGTTCGATTTGTTGCATCTATTTTTTACATTCCAACTCCCTTTGTTCTATGTACTTACTTTACTGACCCTCTTTATATTACGCCTGCTCCTATCTCATCCGCCTCACCATTGTTACTTGTCGTTATTTTGGCGACGACAGTCATTGTGGATGGGTGCGCCGCACTTCGAGACTAATCATATTTGTTTGTCTGAACCGAATTGGACTGTTTTCAGCTTGATTGGCGGTCAACTGCAGCACTTAGGATACCCTGAACAGCCGCAGTGTCTGCGGCGTTGTTTACGCTGCTGAAGTCTGTCGAAGAGACCTACTTCTGATGGCTTGCAAGTGATCATCATGTGTGATGCGTACACAGATGATACAACGAAGCAACTGCTCCTGGACTTTTGTCGATTGTTAACCTCATCTGCACTATCTTTCACTGCGATTCATTCACACTTATTGCTCTCAACAGTTACTGACTGCAACAGTTATTTTTAGCTACCTCCAGTTGTTACCTTCCTGGATGCAGACGTCACTGAAATCCGAATCAGGTAGTTGGCCGGTTAGCACAACACGTACATATTGTTGGCGTGTTCCTGATACGGTACATATCCACGCAGTTAGAATTCTAAAGTGAGAAATGGTGTCGACAGATGTAATGTGGAGTGAGGGCCTTGATAGATTCCTTGCAAGCCGGGACGCTTATTTTGACAAGCGATCTGATTATGCCGGTAACATGGATAGCAAGGTCAGGGGCGATCGTCTTCCCTCCATGCTTAAATCGATGGCGAATTCAGTTGACTTCCACTCGTCGTCGCGCTCAACCGCACGCAGTCCTAAAAATACCCCGATATCATTAATCTTGGTTCCGAACATCATTCATTGGATTATGTCTGCCTCAGACTTTTCCTAGCTGAATAAAGTATTCCTCCACCCCCCTATGTCTCTTCCTTTCGTTAATACTTCACGCTCCATACTTGCCGTGCCTTGTCTGTGGCTGACTAGAGGAGTCTGGGACGGTATTGGATGTTGAGTACTCATCGCTTTTGCCCTTAGTTTCCAGTCACAACCGGTTGCACTAATCAAAAATGCGAAGTTATCTATTTATTGTTCTTCTTGCCGACCTTCAGCTACTGTTTTGCACCATTACTCGTTTTTTTCCATATGCTGGGTTGTATGGTTACCAGTCGGCATCGCATTAAAACTGCTGTATATTGCTTTACTTATTTTTCATTGCATGAACTCCACAGGTGGAGACCGAGAGGAAGAACAACATGATTGTTTATCGGATCCGAACAGACACTTCCTCTGGAAGCAACTCTGAACCAAGTGGACCGCCATTAACTCCGGTAAATAACTTTTTTTGTTAACGTCTGTTTTACAATTCTCGCATTTTAGTAGCCGTGATCTACTTCTCTTGACGCGATCATAAGTCAACCTTGGTGAGCGAACTAAGGATCTGCACATAGCCCATCTAAAAAGTTTTGAAACGCTGCAATGCACAAGCACGACGGTACCGCTGATTTCCTGATTGCGATATGGCAGAAAGTAAAACTGATCAATTATGCGACCTACCACGATCCTTCGTTCTTGAAGTGGGCGCATTTCAATAATGTCCGCTCAATTAGCAAACTTCTTCAATACTGCTTTGTTATTGCGTCTTCCGTTAGGTCATAATCAAACTGATGCATCAGTGTCAAATTACTATCTGGTCGACTAACAAACATACAACGAACATGGCCGAGACTTTGTCCATTTCTTCCTGGACATTGAGTAGGCTACCGAACACCAGACTGCAAAACCTCAGCATCACTCCGGATATCTAGTATGGTTCGTACCTAGCGGCGTCGTGGCTTTCTCCATGAATACAAAACATTGCAGCGATCAGAATCACTTATCTCGCTTTTTTAAAAACCTTATTGCGTTTTATAATCTTAAATTTGTGTGCACATAGCTCACAGTAACCTTTTTAAGCGAAACAAACACAATTGGAATCGACACGCTTTTACCAACGAGAACCAAGTTTATTTATCCCCGATGAGTATGATTCCGGAATTCTGATGGCGATGAACTTTTCGAATGCGGTTTCTGTATTTTCTTAGGTTTTTATAATATCCCTTTCGAAGGAAGTTATCCAGCTACTTGAAAAAATGGCCAGGGGACTATGGTGTGTGAGGCAAAGTTTCCCACGCCATCTCATGCTGCTTCCGCAGCGTTGTTGTGCGACGTGTGGCCGAGCGTTATTATGGAGAAGAAGAATTGGCCCCTTTCTGTTGATCATTGCCGGACACTGTGTTGTGGTTTTCGGTGCATTTCAACTATTTACTGACAATACTTCTCCGCTGTAATGCTTTCGCCTGGATTCAGTAAGTTGTGCTAGATCAGACCAACCGCAGGCCACCAAACAGTTATCATGACCTTTTTGGATTCAATTTCGACTTTGGGAAGTGTTCTAGCGATCGATCGTGATCCAACCATTGAGTAGTCCGTCGTTGATTGTCATAAAGTACCTAGTTTTCATCGTGTCGTAATCCGGTGGAAAAACTAGTCGTTTTGTTGCGCAGCAGTAGAGCAGACGACACTTCAAAACGACGTCTTTGTTGATTTTGCTGCATGCTCGCGGCATCCACTTATCAAGCTTTTTTGCCGTTCCAATCTTCCGCAAATTATTGAAAGCTGTCAATTACATTACTGCTAAGTCAGACGCAAGCTTACTTAACAGTTTTATGCGAATCATTCTCAACAATTGCCTTTAATTGATCATCGTTTACTTCCGACGGCCGTCCACAACACTCAATTTCTAAACCTCGTAACCTTTTTGAAATTTTGAAACGGCCATTTTGCAGTACCATCATTGGTGGATCCATGGCCAAATTCATCATTGATGTCACGAGCAGTTTGTTGCATTTCGACCAAGTTTAACTTGGAACACAAAATCGGGCAAATTTGTCTTCCATACATGTTACATTAATGTTCTCTAAAAGTATACACACGTGCCTTTTGTCTAAACTAGCACTAGTGCTAGATCGAGTGAAGTTCGACGATTCCAAGTGATATATAGCATCATGGCAACCTATTAAAATGTATTCAAACTACAGTTGGTACGATTTTTTCAACGTCAGCAACCGCCATAACTTTATTAACAACCTATTAAATATAAAAAGAGCTGTTTTATATTTAAACAACTATTAATCACTCTTGCGTTTTTCTGAGCCACCTTCGCTTCACGAGAGGTCAGCATAGGGCTATCAACACGTGCTGTCGGTTCCAGAACGGGGTTACGTCGGAATTCGGCCTTTGACAACGGTTTTCTGCACAGGATAGCTTGTGTGTGGCAAGAACACAACGTTTGCAACGATGTTAGACGTCGCTTCCTGGGTTTCCTCTCAATATGTTAATATCGTTGCGCCAACTGAGCTGCCTAGCTTACACCGTACGCGTGCCAAGCGAGCATTTACCGCGCTCGCACAACGCCACGCTGGAATAAATTGCACGATGGTCAACCTACTACATGGCGGGAAAAACCTCAATCCAGCTGTTGTCGGTCCCGTACGTCTTCCGGGTTGGGGCATAAGAGATGAAGAGCATCGCAGGTTGAAGACCCTTGAGGACATAACGCGTAATCGTCACCAATAGAAGGTTTGCTCAAGTCTATGTGTTGATTCTACTGATCAAAACTGACAAAATGACGAAGTGGCGTGTGAAAATACAAAAAACTTTCCTTTATATATTTCCCGTTTATTGTCATTGTATCTATTCTGCACACTTATTAAATAGTTTTCCGTGGCTCGATGTCTATTCTATAGAGAGATGGTAATATATATATATATATATATATATATATATATATATATAGAAGCATTTATTTCCCGATGTGATTTTAAACAAGAACGTTAGCATGATAGCACCACACGATTTCTACCCGGAAATTTTTCAATGCATGTTATCAAGTGCGTACTTCAGATTGCATCCAAACATATGTACTTAACATCATGAACATCTCGTATAGTTTTGGTAACAAATTCACCAAAGAACATACAGGATGTTTTAGTAAGCATGTTTGGAGCTAGGAGCGGCTGCGCTCTGTTGCTGACGTACCCCAGTACGCTGAATTGCCAACTGTCCAATCGCGCAAATTGCTGTGAGAACTGAACGTTAGTCAGACCCACAGCCGCCATGAATGCGTCATGCCTCGACCGCAGGGCAAGACCAACGGAACGCAGGCCGTTCGGCTGTGAGAACTGAACGTTAGTCAGACCCCACAGCCGCACTGGACGTGTCCTGGTTCGATGGATCCGTAGTCGGCCTTCACGCAGGTGTGAAAGCCAGCAAAAGAGTTCCCTGTGACGTGGTTGGTGGGTCGCTGTGGTAGAAATTATAAAAAAGAGCCAGGACGTATGTGATGACCGGTCGATGGACGCCGTATTGCTATCGTCACAAAAGTTGTTATTGCCTCATGAGTGGCTTTCAAAAAACCAGCAACCTGCTTTCGCAGCTAAAGTGAATCATTCTGCAGGGAGCACATAGCAAGGTTACAGTGTTGTTCGCCTTACCGTTTCGACCGCGTGTGTTTTACATTTAAGAATTCCCCAATCACGGGTGCATGAAAACGAATCCTTGACTTGACGTGACAATGCTGTTATATTTCGGCTAATTCATCATGGTCACTCTCAACCAACAGGCTTAGGCTTGTCTGGAAAAGCACCAGACGCCGGCGTTTCGACCTTCTGGGTCTCGTCATGGGTGCGCCTCCCGGTGGACCCCTGCCGGGATCCGCCCCCATGACTCCGGATGTCAGCAGCTAGTGTCACTTCGCCATGGGTGACAGCTGTGGACCTGCGTGATTGACAGTTGACTATGATATAGTCCGGTTCATCTTCCACTGCTATGCACTTTAGGAACTGTGCAGAGGACAGTGGCTCGCCTCACGGGCCAGGATTTTCCGCATAGCGCCTCGACACTGCACACTGACTTAAAAGTTATACGGACAGATTTGTTAATATTTACTGATGAGTAGTGAGGATTTTTGGTATAATTCAGCTAATTCATCACGGGCACTCTCAATAAGCAGGCTTAGGCTAATCTTTAAGGGAAGCAGACGACGGCGTTTCGACCTTCTGGGTCTCGTCAGTGGTACACATCCCTGTCCCTATAGCTTTCAAGTCCTTGTGTCGTGTCGAGGTGCGATGCGGAAGTCCCTAGCTCGTGGGGCTAGCCACTGTCCTCTGCACAGTTCGTAGCTTGCATGTCAGTGGAAGAGGAGCCGGGTTATATCATGGTCAACTGTCAATCACTCAGGTCCGCGGCTGTCACCCATGGCGAAGTGGCACTAGTTGCTGGCATCCAGAATTCATGGGGGCGGATATATATTCAACGCGGCCAATAGTACAATTGGCATAGTGCCACAACGTATTGGAAATACAATAAACGTACGAAGATAGATGGCGAAAGCCGATGTTCATGGGAATAGTGAGTCACAACAAGTCCGCCATTGTGAACGATTTCTTGCCAAATCCGAGAGCGTTTCAAGCCATGTGTGTTCCGAATCCTTCACACTCCAGCCAGGGAGCCGAGAGTGCCCGACCACGGCTAACTTTGACGTTAGCTCCTTCATGCTGCTGGCCCAAATCATACGTTGACCACCTTGCTTTTGCTTCCAGCCGACTGCGTGCGCGAAGATGGTACGACAAGGTAAGCGATGAGTAGGCATGCGGAGAACCTGCCCTAGCCACTGAAGTCTGCGCAGAAATTATACTGCTCAGTAGCCGGCAAAGTCTGCTTGATCTGAAAATCCTTCGTCGAATATCTTCATTCCTAATATGATGTTGCCATCCTACACTACCAATGCTCCGAAGGCAGCGCTGATCAAAAACTGACAACCTCTCAACATCCTTTGCGCGAACAGGCCAAGTCTCGCAGCCATAGAGAACCGCTGTCACTGTGGTATTGTAAACTCGGCCCTTCAGAGTTGGACTCATATTACCTCGGCGCCAGAGATGAGAGATTGGCAAAAGCAACCCGAGCCTTGGAGACGCGCAAAGAGACCTCATCCATTAAACCATTAGCGCTGAGGCAGCTTTTGAGGTAAACGAACTTGTCCACCACTTCCAGTGAATGACTTAGAAGGGTAAGGTCAGGAGCAGCGCCTAGCCAGTCCTGCAGAAAAACCTTGCATTTCGATTTAACGCGAAGGTCATTCCAAACTGCAAGACAGACATCTCCAACTTACACAGAACATTTTGGGCGGCCCATGAGGAAGCGCAGCTTACGGCGATGTCGCTTGCATGCTCCAAATCCCGAAGTCGGTCCCCCGGAAACAGCTCGACGTCGCTGGGTTCGCAGTTCTCCA